GGATATTTATCCAATGGTTTATCTAAGGACAATTCTGTTACAGGTATTGCTGGCTCTTCTACAGCATTCTCCACTGGTTTCACTACATCAAGAAGTTCTGTGTTGGGTTCTTCAACAGATTCTGCAGCATTTTCAGCCAGCACACTTGTAGTTTCTTCTGTTGAGGGTTCTAATTCACTCTTAATGTTTTGAAGTGGGGGTGTCAACTCCATTGGTTCTGCTTCTGTAACTGAATCTCTCTTAGCAACTACTGGTGGATTGACTGGTCCTGGATCCTCATCTACAGTGAGTTTGTCACTGACATCACTGTCTGAAGAGTAATCACTAGATGAATCTTTATCTAAGAGTTCTTTAGGTACTCTTACTGTCAGTTTTGGTACCCTATTTAATGTGTTGTCGTCCTCCAATTTATTATCATATATGGTTGTTTTAATGGCATGATCTTGTTTTGTTTCTAGTACATTGTTAATAATCTCCAAATTATTATTCAAATGAGTTTTTACTGTCATTTCTTTGTTATTTTCATATATTGTAGTGGTCTTCACAAATGGACTATCAGCTCTATCACAAATAGTCATTTTTATGGAAGGTGTTTTTGGCTGAATTGTTTGTTCAGTCGGAGCTTCTCTTTCATATCTTTTTGGTGGTCTTCTGAGACGAGAAGGTGGTTTGTGCAAGATTTGCTGCCCGACTGTAGGATCTACTGTGGAGTTAATTATAACAGGTGAATTCGCATTATTAAGGCTCAATGTTAGTTTTATACCACATTCTTTTTCTTTTTCTACCGGCTTCTCTAAAACTGTTACATCTGCTTTACTGTTTAGCAATCTGGAATCATCCATTTGACTATCTTCATAAGGAGACGATGGTCTACTCTCTTCTGAGTGATCTAAACTGTCATCACCATTTATATGCATGTTACATTTACCTTCAACAGTGTCAAAATTATTTTGGTGCACCGGACTTGAAATTAATCTATTATCTGAACTCTCTAAGCCTGAATCTGCAGTTTTACTTGTATCTTTACTGGTAGCTGCTGAGTTGTCTGAACTTACACTAGTATCACTATGTATTCCATCAGTTGTTATTCTTTCAGCTGATTTATGTAAAACTGATGGTAAATCCAATTTAGTATCAGCGCTGTCTCTATTTCCACTGCCTGATCTAATGATATCTTTAGTCACAGAAAAGGGCCCGTTTTGAGGTAATTCATTGAAATGTTTAGCATTTTTCATATTAGTCTGTTTTACAGCATTTTTACTGACAAGCATAGGCACCGGTTTTGGTTTGATATTATTACAGTCATGATTGAATATGTCATCTTGTTCACTGCAAATTTCATCACACACACAACACATTAAATAGAATGTCCCATTATAAATGTTGAAAAATTCCTCTTTAGTTCCATAGCTGAACTCTTTCACGTTGTGTTTATTTGTTAAATGCGCAGAGAGTTTGTCAGCTTTTGAAAACATTCCTAAGCAAAACAGGCATATGTGTCTATTGTGGACTTCTCGCATGTGAAGAAATAAGTTCCAATTTTCATAATACGTTCCGCATGCTGAACATAAATAAACCTTTCTTGTTACACGAGATGGACCGCCAGGATTAGGTTCAGGACAAGGTGCTGTTTCAGGACTCAGTGCTGGTTCTTTAGCCTGAGCTTGACATACTAGCTGGTGCTCCTTCAACATGGCCAGGGTCTTAAATGACATTGAACAACATTTTCTACACTTAAACTTCACCATAGGCTGCAAACCAAGACTCTGAGCATAATCTTTCAGTTGGGCTCCTTTTTCAATTTTACTCTTTTTAAACTGTTGCAGTTGGCTTTTAGGCACGAGACGAGGCACAGGTTTGTCTTGTTCATTCTCAAGAGGGCATTCAGCTTGTGATGTAATATTTTGAAGCTGACCGAATTCACCACGTTTTGGTATAAGTTTAGGCACACGAGGAACACCAGTTGGTGTATTGGCATCACTGGGTCTATAAAGTCTTTTTTTCTTACTAGAATTATAGTACTGATGTGAATTATCTATGAAAGGCCTCTTTCCCAGATGTATCCTCAGTGGGTTGATGCGTTTCCGGAACTTATCGTCCCGCGCGACTTCGATACTTGGGCGACGGTGCTCGTACAACACGTGAGGCGGACTCGAAGACTCGCCGGAATGCTCATGTCCGTTTGTCGTCAATTTCGCGGGTCTTTCGCCATACAAACTCGCCAACGAACCTGAACTATTTTTTTCATCTCTCGCATTGACAGCATTACCATCTTCCATAGTTTTCTACAAAAACAATAACACGTGTTTTAATTTTACAGAAACAAAAGACACTCAAACAAGAAGAAATCGAAACATTATTTGAATTATCATTACAGTAACAATAATATTTATATGTGTACCTCGGAAATCGTACGTCCAGTATGAGTGCAAGAATATAGATTCGTTTCCATGCATCCGTTTAAACAGTGCGATTCTTACATCAGGCTTACTAGGAGGCAGCCGCGGGCTGATCATTCCCGTAAAATGGCGTCACTTTGCTCACTGAGGAATTGTATTATCAAAAACGTCGCTGTTTGTTTGCTCTGTTTACTGTACACATCACCAACATTTTTTGTGTTTTTAGAATCACTAATTAAAAGAAACTAAACGAAATAAATCACGCTTTTCTGTTTATTTCCAAACACATTGCTGAAAATCGTAACACATTACGAGAAGCTAATCACGAATCATAGACTACGAGTTTCATTTTTTTAAATCCAGCGAGAGATGAATAGCGTTTAATTTCACAGATAACATAATGCAAGTGTTAATTATAAACACGTGGTCTTTTAAATGTTTTCAAATAAAGTTTAGTCGATTTTTAAATTTAATATAACTGATATGGTTCATACTACAACCATTATATTCACTGTTCTACCTTTATTCTTCATCATCTTTTTTTTATAGATTTCACATATACAACTTAAACTACACAGCCGAGTGGAACATTTAGGTACTTTGTGTAAATCAGAGATAGTATTTTATGCATATACATATGTATTCTCTCCTCGTCCTATAATCATTCCATTATTGCTGAGAATCGTGACGTGCCTGCTTAAGATATTTTCTTGTGATCTGTTACCATATATATCGGTCAGTGGCACAGTAAAGTGCTTCGCTTAGTCTCCTCACCAGATGCTCGGACACTGAATCACACCTATTCGAGCTCTGACTCCTAGATCGTTTTCCATCCACTTAATGGATTATCCAATATCGAATACGTTTAAACAATATATATACGTACGTATGTATGTTGTAGCATTACGTAGTATATGTATGGCGGATTTCATTAAAATACGCTAAGATATTAGATTCAAAATATTATCGGAAGTGGGGTAGGGTATATTATTTCAATGTTTTTTTTTTCGTTGCATATATAGGTGGACAGTTCACAGCCATCTGGTGCTAAGTGGTTACCGGAGCCCATAGACGTCTACAAAGTAAATGTCGCCACCCATCTTGAGATATGAGTTCTAATTAATCTCAGTATAGTTACAACGGCTGCCCCACCCTTCAAACCGAAACGCATTACTGCTTCACGGCAGAAATAGACAGGGCGGTGGTACCTACCCACGCGGACTCACAAGAGGTACTACCACCAGTAATTACGCAAATTATAATTTTGCAGGTTTGATTTTTATTACACGATGCTATTCCTTCACCGTGGAAGTCGATCGTGAATATTTATTAAATACGTATTTCATTAGAAATGTTGCTATCCACCTGCGGGATTCGAACACCGGTGCATCGCTCAACACGAACGCAACGGACGTCTTATAGTTTAGGCCACGACGACTTAAACAAAAAAAAAGCCTAAACATTTGTTTCAATAAGAATGTTTGATTTTTTTACTGCTTCAAAGTTTGAATGAGCTCATGATTTCTTGTTTAGTGGATTTTTTAAAGATTGTATGGCCTGTTACCGAGACCTTATGTTGGACGGTTAAATTTGAGAGGACTGGGTTCTGTAGGTGAGGGGCTATTTAAAAACACTCTGCTTCATGGTTAATATTGAAAACACTTTGTACACTATACTATATATGTAACACCATTACAATATTTTATTTTATAAAACCCTAAGATGTTGCATAGTCCGTGTCTAGATGAGAAGCCATTGTCCTCACTCAAGAGAAGACTCATATGTTTTAAATATTTAAATAAGCATTTCAATATTCGAAAACTGTAACCTTACATGTGTCAAGTGTTACCTGCCATTACTTACATATTCAAACTCCAACACCATTGGACCAGTTTTAAGGTGTTTTCAAAGCTCATAGACATCACAATTCATTTTCCATACAAAATTATCACGGAAGCTCCAAGTGCTTATGTGTCAGAACTTTAATAGACTATTCAACTAATTCAAAACAAGTCTATTTTAATTAGACAGTTGCTATTTTAATTTGAGAATTGCTAGTATTTAATTTAAATATATTTCTTGAGACCCAACAAAACCATTGTTACCACCTATTGTTATGTTGTTGATTTTCTTTATATAACAATATTAATTTAGAGTCTGTGGGAGTTATAAAGCTAGTGTTGCAACAGGACTTTTTGGCGGGAGCGCGAGGTGTGAAGTTGTGTGATTTGTTTTATTTTGTCTATTTAGTGTTTCTTCGGGCTTAAATGTGTAATAATGGTGGTTTATTAAGTGTTTAATATATGTGAAAGTGCACAAATGTGGAAAAATTAAACAAAGCCGCTGGACGTAACTTTTCGGGATCCTCCAAAAAGTCCACTGAAAAAATCTTAGTAAATGACCACCATTTTACTGACATTATATTTCATCCCAGTTGATTAATGTCCAAATTAGTCGTCTTCATTTTATTTCACTCCATAATATCATTTTTCATAAAAATTGAATATAAATTAAAATAAGAAATGACTTAAAGGTCTCAGTTCCCTTAAAAAAAAAAGTGTTGCAACATTGTTCCTACTTTTATTTTTTAGAGTTGTCAAAAGCTTGGGAGTAGGGAAGGTCTTTTTAATTTTTTGTGATTTTGTTTAGAGTATTTAATTTATTTAAGTTCGTTTCGTAGATAATGGTCATCCAAGATGATGTCTGATCAGTTTAGGAAAGTAGAACCATATTCGCCAAAATCGTCGCCGAGGGGTGCGAGGTCACCAGTCGTCTCTCGCCAAGATTCTTCTGGTACACTCAAAACTACTATATCCTTAGGCAAAAACCCGTCTATAGTGCACAGCGGACCATTCTATTTGATGAAAGAACCCCCGGGTCAGTATCTCCAACTCTTTAACATTCTCTTCTCAAATTCTTAAATAATTATATTCAGGAAGTGACTTCGACGATTTCTTTTACAGGAGAATGTGAACTGACAGGCGCTACAAATTTAATGGCCTACTATGGACTTGTACATTCTTACAGTAAGTTTAACGGCAAAAAGCTGAAGGAATCCCTATCATCTTTCCTTCCGAACCTGCCGGGCATCGTTGACGGACCTGGGCAGGACGATAACAGTACTCTAAGTTCAGTTATAGCTAAGAGACCAATTGGTGGTAAAGAATTACTGCCATTAACTAGTGCTCAGTTGGCAGGTTTTCGATTACACCCTGGCCCACTTCCTGAGCAGTACAGATATGTGAGTGCAACACCACCAAAGCGACATAAAAGCAAACATAAGAAACATAAGCATAAAGACGGTGCGCCTCCTGGGCAAGAGACACCTTTACAAGGTAAGAACTCAACAACATTGATTTAATAGATTTAGCTATGTCCCAAGCTTGTAGACAATATTACAAATTAGCCACCTGTAGATGCTATTTAGGTCTAGGTGAGTCTTCCGGGCACTTTGATCACAATCTAGTTAAGACAATTTGAATTGCAATGTAATTGTACTCAGCATTTTACATTTTGTGGTACTTACCCGTGCAGGCTCAGAAGACACCCTATCAATTATTTTTAGTGAGTCTGTTTACAACACTGTCCTTCACTGTTGAAGTCAATTGTGAACATTTGTCAAGTACATATTTCATAAGGAAAAATGGTACTTATCTGCGGGATTCCAACACTAACAGTCGCATCACTCAATATGAATGCACCAGGCGTCTTATCCTTTAGGCCACAATGATTTCATTTAACTTTAGATGTCAAGTGATACTTTTTAAATTGCTTTATTAGTTATATTATTTATACTCCATTTTTGTCTTGTGTTTTAATATAAAACATATCTATTATTCTAGATTCATCAAATCCAGACACATATGAGAAAAAGCATAAGAAGCAAAAACGTCATGACGATGAGAAAGAACGAAAGAAGAGAAAAAAAGAGAAAAAGAGAAAAAAGCAAAAACACAGCCCTGAGCATGGAGGCCTTACACCAAACCAACATCCATTACCGTAAATATAAGTGTACAAGTAGGTTTAAGTCGAATATTGAGCCCAAAGAGAGTATTGTACTAAAGATGACTAAAAATTAGTAATTCATTGTGTTCTAGTGATATTCCATTACTAGTGAAATGTACCTCTACACTTTGTTGTGCATATGACTAAATGTATGAACGGCACTCATTTTTTGAAACTACACTTGCTATCTATCATAAGTTGATTGTAATACGATCGAATGTTGTTAACATTTCATTAAAGTGGAAAGTTTCCTCAATTGGTTGAATGATATAATAACACAAGAAGAATAACATACAATTGGTTGTGGCCTAAAGGATAAGACGTCTGGTGCATTCATGTTAAGCGATGCACTGGTGTTCGAATCCCAGGCAAGTACCAATTCTTTTAATGAAATACATACTTGACAAATGTTCACGATTGACATCCACAGTGAAGGAATAACATTGTAATAAAAGTCAAACCCGCAAAATTATAATTTGCGTCATTACTGGTGGTAGGACCTCTTGTGAGTCCGCATGAGTAGCTACTACTACCCCGCCTATTTCTGCCGAAGTAATGCGTTTCGGTTTGAAGGGTGGGGCAGCTGTTGTAACTATACTTGAGACCATTGCATTTACGTTACATCCACCCATCTAAGCAATAAAATAAAAAAAAGAGTAGATTTATCTGAATCTATATTTCTACATTATTCAATGGGGTGTATATGTCAATAAAATGAAGAAAAAACAAAGTTTTTTATCACATTTTAAACCATAATAAGAAAAATTAGGTTTGCAAGACTTTTGTTTTTATGAAATACCTAAAATTGCTAGTCAGGCAATGTTTTAAACTTATAGCTAATTTATTATCTTTACTTCATAGTAATTACTTTTGATTCTGAACTTAAGAGGCTTTCAACAGGTTCGATTGCATGGTAGATTTAATAAGATTTTCTTATGCTAAGTTACCTAATAGAGTTAAAATGCCATGATGGCAAGCAACATTGTGTTAAGTTGACCACTTTGAAAGAATAATCACATCATTCTCAAATGTTTCTAATGCAAACATTAGGAATTTATTAATAAATACTACATAATTAAGAATTAAATTTCTGAGCGAATTGCCCACAGAGTGACATTAAAACAAAAATATTGTTAGTGTTGAATTCCATGAGGTCTCTTCCATCTCTTTGGGCTCGACTCAAAGTAATGTATTTAATTAATATTTAAGAATTTGTTATAAGAAAATCGTTCTGTTTACCAAGTTAAGCTAAATTTAATGTTTTTTTTTTATTATTATTTAGAATACAATAAAACACACCTGTGTAGGTAGCTGCAGACGAAAAAATATTGCAGAAATCTCTAAAATTTTCTGAAGCAAATTTTAGGAATAAATGAAATTGAAATTTTAAGAATTACATATTAGTAGGACTATGTTCTTTAAAATTTGCTTCGGCATCAATATAATGTCCTGTTAACCTGATAGTGTAATTGATAATTTTGTTTTCTTTTTACCACCACCCTTATAGAAATAAAATTTGATAGAAAGACATTATTTAAATTTTTGGTTTTATTTAACTTTAAGCATTTAAGGCTGGAATGACCTCTACAGTAAACAGTCGAGCGCCATTTTATTTTCTGTTTCTGTCCTTTTTTTGTTCAGTAACTATTGATAAGATCTAGACTACAAAAAATTAGGGTACCGTACCTAATGGTTTTTTTTTAAATGTCCCTTTACTAAGTGGTTGTTAAGGCTAAGTTCATATGATCGCGTGGTGCCGCGCGTCACCGCGCGATGGTAGCGTTCACATTACAGAATGTACGCGCGAGAGTCTGGCATCAACATTGATTGAGAATGGACGTGGAGGAAGCAATTTGCTTATTAATTTTATACCGAAAACTGAGACGTCGGAGAAGAAGACAAAGACGATACTGGGTGCATTAATTGAAAGACTTTCTTCAAGCCTTTTTGTAACTTTATATCCCGACCTGAGACTACACGAATAAAATTCTTTTACTACCTAGTTTAAGATGTCAGTTGCATCTTTTAATTTTTTATATGATTGCGTTGAAAACTATTTAAAATCGATAGACACGATAACGTCTTCGCTAGGTACTCATTTTTCTTTGATCTATGCGTCTGTCCGTCTCAAACCGCGCGGATCAGCTGAACAGGTAGATACAGTTTTGCAGAACTTGTACCGCGCGCGGTACAAGAACCTGCGCGCGGTACCGCGCGGTGAGCAGTTCCGCGCGGTCATGTGAACTTAGCCTAAAAGCGGATTCGCGGGGCAAGCGTTCCGTGAACATGGAAAAGCACTTTTACAAAGGATATTATGTTGGATACCTACATATTCTAATCCATTTTATCAATGTGTATGTACCGATTAGATCCACGAATAAACAGATCTTTAGCCGCGAACATAGGAATTGGCTCGCATATTTTTAATCTGCGGATAAGGAACCTGTATATACTATTAATGTTTTTTAATGCATTTATATTGTACCTACGAATCTGCACCGACGCGTGATTAGTGCCTAGGTAAGGTATTATTTTAAGACTTATATGATGCAGTTTATTAAATCTCTGCCACTTTTGCCAAAAAATTATATAGTTATTTATATTTATTTATTATACCAACTCAGTATTTAGTGTATTCGAAAAGAAAAATATGGAGGAACCACTTCAGCTTCAATTATTATGCTTTAAACCAACATTCTCTTTGAATTAAAATTACTTTCTTACATTTCATTTCTACCTATTAAATTATTTGAATTATTAAATTATTATTATTGATTTAAATATTATAAATATGTAAATTATTTAAAAAATATATAAATATTATAGATTCATATGGATTACTCGAGTAAACTTGAAGTTGTCGTGGCCTAAAGGATATGACTTCCGCTGCATTCGTGTTGAAGCGATGCTCCGGTGTTCGAATCCCGCAGGCGGGTACCAATTTTTCTGATGAAATACGTACTCAACAAATGTTCACGATTGACTTCCACGGTGAAGGAATAACATCGTGTAATAAAAATCAAACCTGCAAAATTATAATTTGCGTAATTACTGGTGGTGGACCTGGTGGACCACTTGTGAGTCCGCGCGGATAGGTACCACCGCCCTACCTATTTCTGCCGTGATTTCGGTTTGAAGGGTGAGGCAGCCGTTGTAACTATAGTTGATACCTTAGAACTTATATCTCAAGGTGGGCGCATTTATGTTGTAGATGTCTATGGGCTCCAGTAACCACTTAACACCAGGTGGGCTGTGAGCTCGTCCACCCATCTAAGCAATAAAAAAAGACAAGATGGTGCTCCTTACCTCTACCCTCCATGCGGAAGCCTAAAAAAATATTATGAAACTGCCAATTTCAGATCCAATTTCTGTTGTGTTTTTTTTTTTTTTTTTTTTTTTTTTTTTTTTTTTTTTTTTTCCGTACCTCTAGCAAACAACAAAGCCAGAGATTCATGTTTACATTTTTTGTTTTGTTTTAATTTAAATTATAGTTTATACTCCTGCCCATAAGGGGCTTAAAAACTAGGTCACGCATTCATTCCGAGCCTCTTTATCATACCAGTTCTCGCATTTATTCCTCTCGTACTTTCATTAATTCCATTCATACTTTGCATTCCTAGCTGCGGTTACTAAAAGGAGGGGAGGGGGAGTAGGGCTGTTGGGACTCTTTATTTCTATAATTATTTACATTTCCTTATTCTACCTTAAACCTAGTACATGTACACTTAATCCTATTTACTTAAACTAGGTTATTTACAACAGTAATAATATGTTAAAATATTATATGTTATAAAAATTTCTTATGTTCTATTTCTTTTATTAACCTCCTTTATAATTTTTATTGCATATTTTAGGAACAAGTTCCTCGCACAGGTTTTTTTCATTAAATTGGGGAGTTCTCGCGCATGGAGTCTTTGGCCCAGTTCGACCTCCAAGTCGAATCGTGCTGAGCCAAAGACTGGACACTCCAGAAGCACGTGGGCCACTGACTCGTCGACGTAAGGGTCACAGATGCATGCTGGGCTCTCCTTGCACTTGAACCTGGCCAAGTACTCGGAGAACCCACCATGCCCTGTGAAGGCCTGTGCTACCTCCTTGGTCATTTCGATCTTTCTGATTATCCTGTATGCCTCGGACGCGATTGGGAAGTACAGCTTGGTGACTGAGGCCGTTTGTTCGGCGCTGTACCTCCGATCCCATTCGGCGAGCGTGTCCATGCGGATTACACGCTTGTTGTCCTTGGTCTGTTGTGCTTGGAATTAGTTGGAATCAATAAAATAGGGTTTATTTTCAAAACACAATAAGTATTGTATATTATGCATTCAATAATGATAGCCGGGTTATAATGTCTTGGTTGGATTCAAAATTGTTTATTAAGGATAATTACTTATGAAGACTCAACAAAACGAAAATCAAACTTCTTACTTCCATTCACATTGTACGCATAATGCGATTTAACGAAAACGTGATTTAAAAAATTTAAGTGTTATTAACACCAACGTGAAATGACTTCTAGCTTCGTAGTATAAAGTTATGACAGTAGATGTTATTATTTCACACATCCCCTCCCCTCCACGGTGTTTCCCGAGCGCTATGACATGTCCTTCTTCAAACGAGACTTGTGGAGAGTATTAAGCGGTAGGCAGCGGCTTGGCTCTGCCCTTGGTATGCTGAAGTCCATGGGCGACGGTAACCACTCACCATCAGGTGGGCCGTATGCTCGTCTGCCTACAAAGGCAATAAAAAAAAAACATTAAAAAAACTCAAACAAAAAAAAACAAATGATTCCACAGCATACTTTATTTTAAAATAATTCAAAATTTATACATATATCTGTTCGCTTCGGAGACAATTGGTCAATCCTAAATTAAACAACAAAAAAAAAACGTAATAAATTAGTAATGCGCAGCACCATAATACATACAACTTTACAAATAATATTCGTACTTAAAAAATAAGACTACACATTATATTCACGAGGTGGGCAACACCAAAATTTATAATGATTAAACCACTTTAACTTTGACACATAAATGAGTCGACTATTATCAAAGCCGGCAATGTGACTTTTGGACAATTATTGGTAAATCAGAAAAACGAATTATTGACTTTGTATTCCATTGGCAGTCACAAAACTCTTCTGAACGACATCTTAGATAAATAACAGGTTAACTATTAACCTTTATTTAATGCAGGTTTTGAACCGTATTCTTTGAAGGAGACGATTATNGTGACTTTTGGACAATTATTGGTAAATCAGAAAAACGAATTATTGACTTTGTATTCCATTGGCAGTCACAAAACTCTTCTGAACGACATCTTAGATAAATAACAGGTTAACTATTAACCTTTATTTAATGCAGGTTTTGAACCGTATTCTTTGAAGGAGACGATTATA